CTTGCACGAGACAGACTCCATTGATAATTATGAACCTCTTGTCGAGGAGTTCCGCGAAAGTGCGTCTAATACTCTCATTTTCACTGTCTGAACGGCCCCTGAACTCGATTTTCTGCAGTGTGGTCGGATCATGCGAACCTCATATCCATCGCCTACAGCGGTACCGGCGCTCTGAAAGTAGAGTTCACAAAGACAGGCAAGCGCACCCATAAAGGTACACTCGAGGATGGATACAAGTCCGTTATGCGCTACCTCAAGAACAACTTCTTCGACGGCGCAAGACAGGTTCGTGCTCGTTGATGAACCCTGTGGCGGCACTATTTTTGACACTTCCTGTCGTGTAGGATGCGTTTGATCTTATGACCGGCGCGTGGTTGCCACGACGGAATTGGTCACCTTCTGGCCTCGTTGCGGACAGACGTCCGCTGCTCGTTCGTGCAGTACGTGCGATTTCTTCCACTGTAGATCGATTACTCATCTCAGAACCTCGTCAGGTGCCATACGTGCTGTGGTACTCCATATTCATGATATTCGCCGGCCTCACCCTGCCACGCTCCTCCGGTATGTACTGATCTCCAGACCACCTTGAAGCGCAGCAAACGCTTACGCCCATTCGTCTCAGATTACTCCCTCACCTATTACTTCCTGCTTTGGATCTTCCTCGCCGGAATCGCGCTCACATTCATCATGATTCACGGCATCTCCTACGTCAGCTGGCCCCGCCTGCTGCCTCTCACCGACACTATCTACTACGACGGTCCCGGATTCCGCTCTGGCAACCATGGCAAAGGTTTCGGGATCCACGCTCTCGATGCGAAGATTAGTGCGAAGAGCAGAGGGCGTAAAGGAGCTAGCAGCAAGCTGGACGAGATTGAGATGGGGTCCAAGAGGATAGATTAATTTCTGGATTCTGGACGGCTTTGATATACGTTGATTGCGACTTCTTATTTCTCATGCAGGTTACTAGTGCGACTCTTGGACTGTATATATATTCTTTATGTTCTGCATTGTATGTTTTTTGCGCTTGAGAGTGCTCACTGCTCAGAAGTGCCTCGAAGCCACAGCAAACGACTGAACTGGAGTGGCACACGTGGCGCCGGACCGAGAAGGGACGATCACGTGCTGATCACGCTCCAGGGTTCAAAAATTCGAGTTCTATAAGAGAGCGCGTTGGGAAACGCAGAAACTTTCACATCCTCCCTATATCTAACCCCCTCTCCTTTATCCAAGATGTCCGCCCAAGGTGTCAAGCGTGCCTCCGGTGCTGACGACGAAAAGAACCCCCTCGGTGATGTCGAGCTGAGCGACGACGATGCCAAGAAGCTCCAACTGGTGCAGAAGGACATTGCAAGGGCTGAGCTTGTCCTTGGTGCGTCCCATATCGCTTTGTCCTAGGTTTCCATATATTCACCGTCGTTCCCCCCTTTCGTGCAGACCGCCGTGCTCAGCAGAAGCTTACTCCCGTGTACGAAAAGCGTCGTGGAGTGGTCAAGGCGATCCCCAAATTCTGGCCTGTCGCCTTGATGAACAGCCCTTTGTTTGCGCTCCATGCGCAACACAACGCCGACCAGGTTGCTCTCAGCTACTTGGAGGACCTCTGGCTCACTCGTGATCCCGTTGAGCCCAGGTGTTTCACCCTAGAGTTCGTGAGTGGCCGGAAAATTTTCCCCTCAAGTGTCGGTGGCGCTGAACCGAGTTTATTGCTGTCGATAGCACTTCAAAGAGAACCCATACTTCTCGAATACTGTACTCAAGAAAGAGTACAAGTTTGTCCCTCCGCCCGCCGCATCAAGTGACCAAGCTGATGAGGACGGCATTACGGAGACCATGCTCGACTTCTCATGGGAGCGGGATGTTGAGGCGCAGGTACGGCTGGCTTTATGTACAGGCCTCCTCCTTTCGTGACCTGACCAATGCGTTTTCAGGCTACCAAGATTGAATGGAAGGACGACTCAAAAAACCTCACCAAGCTCTATCCTCGGGCTGAGGATGAGGACGAGGACGACATGCCCGCTGAGAGCGGCAGCATCTTCAACTTCTTCGAGGTTGCGAAGGACACCTTCGACGTAAGTCCCGCTATCTCGCTTCGGTAGCTTCATGGAGGCTAATATGTACTTGCTCGGCGTAGCTCGGTGTTGTGATCGCAAACGAGATCTTCCCTGAAGCAGTCGATTACTTCCTTGGCAATGCTGGTGGTGACGACATTGATTCCGACGACGAAGACGAGGACGAAGACGACGATGAGGAGGAGATTGACCTGGAAAAGCCTCGCCCCAAGAAGCCAAGACAGAAGTAGAGGATGGCTGTTTATACTTGGAAGCGGTAGTGGACATTAGGACATCTCGTTGGAGCTGCTCTGTTGTTGTGTGTGCTTCTTGTAATGCTTCGATACTGCGTATGTTAGCGTATGTTTCTCTGAACGGCATGCGAGACCGTCCTGTTTCATGTCGAATAGTGCTGAAAAGTGGTCGGTGCCGCGCGGAGGGCTAAGTATAGAGTGGTGCAAAAATAAAAGGCTGTTGATTTGCCCGGAGTGGGCGTTTTCATTCATTTTGTATGTCGGGGAGGACGAGGGTCTGATGGTGGACAGATGCCGAGCAGAGGATCACCAAGTCACGCGCTGTCGCCGTTGTTGTCTTCCTGCACGCTGGCGGCTCCCTCTTCTCATCCCTCCTTCTCCCTTATAACCCCCACCGGCCCCTGCAGCTCGTCCTCGTCCTCGACGTCGACGCCCATACCCTCTTGCTGCCCTCGTCGCGTCGCCAGACGCCCTACAGCCCCCACATACGGTCTTTACTTCGCGTATCATCCTCATGAAGGTCGTCGCTCTTGCCGCCATCACCGTGCCTCTCTTGGCTGCGGCCCACAAGCCCAATCTTTTGCCAAGACAAGCATCCCCGCCGCCGTCCGCGGCGACGGGTGCATCGTCGGCTGCAGCGACTGGCAGCACCAGCTCGCTACCAAGCGTCTCTTGGTCATTGGCTGCAACCAACCCAACCGCGGCTCCCCTCTCCATCATCACCCAGGGCACCCTTACGACCAGTGCGACTCTGCCATTGACCACCACCCAGCCTGCAGGAGCCAAACCAACGTATCTCTCGAACGCGCCGCCGCTGCCAGATCGTGAGCGCTCACTTTTTTCTCTTGTTGTCATGCACGGCTAACCTTCTTCAAACGCCAGTCTCGACAGTTTCCCCTGCCAACTACCCAGCGCTCGACAAGTCTCCTCCGACCGACTCTCCTGAAGTTCAAGCATGGATCGCTGAGGTCAACGCTTCCGGAATCACCATCCCCAACATTGCACCTACTGTTGCTGGAGGATGTGCTGCGAACGCTCAAGCCGCTGCCGACCAGTCTCGCTGCTGGTGGACTTGCGGTGGCTGCGTCCGTGATACAGATATTACCACCTGCCCCGACAAGCTCACATGGGGTCTTACTCATGACGACGGACCCGCGCCTTACACTCCCAACCTGCTCCAATACTTGGCCCAAGTGAACCTCTCAACAACGTTCTTCAATGTCGGTTCTCGCGTCATCTCGTACCCCAACACCATCCGAGATGCGTACATGGCTGGCAACCAGGTTGCTGTTCATACCTGGAGTCACCCGCAGATGACCACCTTGACCAACGAGGAGATCATTGCAGAGCTGGGCTGGACCAGGAAGGTCATGAGAGATGTGTTGGGTGTTACTCCCCTCTACTGGCGTCCCCCTTACGGAGACATCGACGACCGTGTTCGTGCTATTGGACAGGCCATGAACCTCATCCCCGTTATGTGGACTCGTCTCAGCCCGACAGTCACCTTCGATACCGGAGGTAAGTCCCCGCTTGCGAGCCACACCTGTCAAACATTCCTCTCACGCTCTGCCTCCGCTGCGCAGATTTCAACGTGGCTGGTGGACTCGACTCCGCAACTGAGGTTTTGGCCAACTGGCAATTCATCGTCGGGAACGCGACCACTATCAACACCGGCTTCATCGTTCTGGAGCACGATCTCTTCATCCAGACTGTCGAGATCGCCACTGGCTACATCCTCCCCGCAGCGCTCGCGAACAACCCTCCGTTGAAGATCCAGCCTGTGATTACCTGCATGCACAAGGACTTCAGCGCCGCGTACCTCGAGACGAACGACAACAAGACCAACCCGATCCCTAACCCCAAGGAGGGTCAAGCTATTCCCTCATCGGGAGGCAACAGCAGCTCCAGCGGAGGCGGCGCCCAGGCTGGTGGATCCGGCTCTGGCGCGTCGCAGTCCGGCAGCGACGCAATGGCGCTGGACGTTCCCAGCAGCAGCGGCTTGTTCGCGCTCGCTGGTTCTGCCGTCCTCGGTCTCTTCGCCGCGTTCGCCTAAGTTCGGCTTCAAAATCCCGACAGCTTATCATGACAGTTCCTCGCTCGTCTCGACATCCAAGTTTACCTACAGTTCATTCGGTTGTGTTTCTCATTCTTTTAATCATTGCCAGTCCTTTTTGTTCATGTCCCCGTTCATATCTTTTGGCTTTGTGAGTCGAAGTATGCTACTACCGCCTTCATGTTCTTGCCCTCGTCATACCGAACTCCTTTACCTGGACAGTATCTTGATTCTCCGAGCTCATGATACCTTTCATCTATTGTCCACTTTTCCCTTCTTCCTTAATCCCCCCCTTTACCCCTTCACGATGTTCTGACCCACATACCAAACCGATCTTGGACTTTGTTTTGTGTTTGTCGATTTGTAGCCCCAGCGACGAGCTAGTACTTGTCTGTCGTCTGGCGAAGACCCCTCCACACCGAGTACTTTACGCGTTGATGCGCATAGACCCTCTGTTGTTGTTGAATGCTACAAAAATGCACGCAATTTTTGTGTTACCGTCGGAGACGGTTCTGTCAACGTGTTGCACAACGGTGTGACCTTCGTGAATGCATCAATGCACAGTTCTCAGTTGGACGGCGAAGCCACATTGACAGTGGGAACGGAAGAGGTACGGTCGAAATGAAAGCAAGGGAATGCAAAAACATTAGCCCACCGCGAGGGTCGAACTCGCAGCCTTCAGATTGGTATTCACCCGCACTCGATAAGAGTCTGACGCTCTATCCGATTGAGCTAGGCGGGCGATGGAGATCTATGGGCCCATGCATCCTTGTTCAAGCTGTGGCGGCGGTTGTGCGTGCCAAGCCCTGTCGCGGTCGCCCTTGACCGGATGGGCGTCTGGTGTGCCTGCAGCGGTAACCACCTCCCCGCGCCCGCCTTTTCTCTGATATACCCCCACGGTCGCTCTGTTCGGCCATCCCACTCTCTTTTCTCCTTCTCATACCCCGCCGTCCGTCGACATCCCCCCTCTCGCACAGCCATGCGTGCGACCTCTCGTCTCTTCGCAGCCTTCGCCGCAGCGACCGCACTGCTCGCAGGCGTGTCGGCCCTCCCGAAGATCTCCAAGACGGGCAAGTACCTCTACAGCGAGGACGGCACTCGCTTCTTCATCAAGGGTATTGCCTACCAGCCACCAGGTGCGTCATCGAGCGGCCTCTCGAGGGGGACTCTGCGTTGTGGGATTCTTATCATACTCGTTGTCACTGCAGGCAAGGTCGCGGCAGACCCGAACAACCCTTTCCTCGAGCCAGCGGACTTCATTGACCCTCTGGCCGACACGGCTGGCTGCGCACGCGACCTTCCTTTCCTTCAGTCACTCGGTGTCAACGCCGTCCGAGTCTATTCTGTCGACTTTACCAAGAACCACGATACCTGCATGAGCACTTTCAGCGCTGCTGGCATTTATACCATGTGAGTCCCCCTCATCAACGTTTGGGAAACGAAAGACGTTTTCGCCCTTCGAGGCTGTGTCGCACGGTGCGGCATTTCGGTTGACGGGGGTTTGAGCAACGGCTGTTGGGTTTTTGAGCAACGGTTATTGCAGGTCAGAGCAGCGCTTGAGTCCATCCGACGGGTGCTCGAGCGTTCTGCATCACTGCACGCGCCGAGATGGCTGTCTAGGACGTGCAGGAACCTGGTTCACGGCTGGGCTCCAGAATGGGACCTCAGGCCGTGTCCGCGTTCGGGGTCGATTCCAGCGCCGGCTGTCATGCCGATCCACTGCTCGACACTGATCCAGCGAGACGTTGAACGTCGATCGTTTCCTATTCTCCAGCAACCTGTGCCAATCATACTGACACGTATTTTCAGCATCGACTTGTCAACACCCGGAAACGGCTCCATCGCCAGAAACTCTCCATCATGGACGACCAACTTGCTCGACAACTACATCAACACCATCAACGTCTTCAGCAAGTACGACAACGTTTTGGCCTACAACGTCGGTAATGAAGTTATTGTCTCGAACATCACCTCTGCCACTGCTTTCGTCAAGGCCGCTGCCCGTGATACCAAGGCTTACCTGTGAGTCATGCAACTTCTATAATCGTCGCTGTCGCGCTTAACTGCTGGTACGAAGAAAATCGAAGAACATATCTACCCTCACCGCGTATGCCGCCATTGACGGTAGCGACGATTTCGTGGTCGCCCTCGCCGAGTACATGTCTTGCGACGTCGGTGGTACAAACTCTGACGCGACTGCTATCGATCTCTACGGCTTGAACAACTAGTGAGTTATTTTGGTCGGCGTACAGAGTCCGTGCGTTGACTGACGGCATGTTTCCAGCGAGTTCTGCGGAGACGACGACGCGTCTGCCTACAGCGACAAGAACAGCGCCTTTGCCAACTACAACATCCCGGCCTACTTCTCCGAGTTCGGTTGCATCACCCAACCTCCTCGTCTGTGGACCGAAACGAAGACGATGTTCAGCTCTCCGATGTCCGACGTGTGGTCCGGAGGTCTCGCGTTCAGCTACTTCCAGTCTACCTCTTCCCAGGGCCAGTTCGGCATGGCCACGATTTCTGCGGACGGATCCACGGTCACCACCAACGACGACTTCGATCGCCTCAAGACCCAGTACCAGGCTGTCACTTTCCCCACCACTCCTTCTCAGAGCAGCGCCGGATCTACCACCTACGGCGCGTGCCCTGCGCCATCTGACGCTTTCCAGGCTCTCTCCACCCTGCCCCCGACTCCCAACGACGCCGCTTGCAGCTGCCTGGAGAACATCCTGAGCTGCCAGTTCACGCCGACGAACCCCGACCCCCTTCTCATCGTTGGTAGCCTCCTTGACGAAGCATGTGGTCTCCTTGGCCAGAACGGCGGCAGCTGCGACGACATCTCTGCCAATGCCACAACTGGCAAGTACGGTCCCGTGTCCGGCTGCGATCCTTGTACGTCTGCCACTCCACCGCTTCGTACGTCGTCTCTGACGCGCGACTTTTCCTTCCTTTCTAGCCACCAAGCTTTCCTACACCATGAGCCAGTTCTACGAGGCCACCAACCGCAACGTCCAGTCCTGCAGCTTCGGCGGCAACGCGACCGTCAACTCCAACGTACCCTCGGGTGTTGCCAACGCCAACGCCGCCGCGTCCTCTTGCATTTCCAACCCCGGCGCGACCTTCGTGCCCAGCGCACCTACTGTGACTGGCGGCCCCGGTGGATCCTCCAGCGGCGGTGGAAGCAGCTCTGGCAACGGCAACAACAGCGGCGCGCTCAGTGACAGGTCGGCCTGGATGGGTATCGGCCTTGCTACTGTGTTTAGCGTGGCTGCTGGTGTCTTCACCGTCCTCGCTTAAAGCGGAACGATGACTGGAATTCTGTTCTCCCTATGAGTTGGTTGGGATTGTTTGTGGTCGCTGTTTTCTTCTTGCCTTCACCTTTTCTACGGACTTCTATTTACTAAACTCACTATTGCACATCCCGATCCCCTCGCGCCTCGTCATCCAAAAGCACGGACCCACGTCTCTCTCACAGGCAGTGCCTAGTTGTTCGTACGCACTTTACCCTTCCGCGCATTCGACAGCTTCCACTGGACCTTCACTCCGCCTCCCTCACGTTACCTCGACATCTTATTATACTCACCGTACCGCTGCTGGCTGGTTTCATTTCATTTCCGCACCTCTTGATTCCCGTCGACGTCGAGATAAACCTGCTTCTTTACGATTCCCCCTCACTCTCTATGCCCGACCCTTGTACTTGTGTTTATACCACAATACCAGTTTTTACTCGCGTATGATACCACGGCATTGGAGAGGCTGTACTGAGCATGATCACGATGAGTGTGAGATTTCCGTTGCAGTGCCGCATGCACGCGTGCCATAGGCACGTCTCCAGCGTGCTCCCAAAGTGACTAGCCCACCTCACACTTTCCGTCCCTCTCTGAAACCTCCCACTAGTCCCACCGTTCACTCGACACGCTGCAAAGGCTGTGATAAGATAGAGTTTCGCAAGGGGGTCATTCAAATTTCGTTCCAGTCCGTCGAAAAGAAATGCGTGTCTACAAAAAGCGTCAAGAGCGTAAATATGCAAATACATAATAGCAGCAGCTACTCGTCGTCGTCCGTCGTCTACCCTCCCCGTACCGCGTGAAAGCGTGAACGCTGAACGGAGAGCCTCAAGGGGACGGTGAGGTCATTTTTGATGTCCGGCATCAAAGCAAATCAATCTATCCGCGATACGTGCAGGAACTGCGAAGTGGGAAAGGTGAACGTTGGTCAGGGAAAGTTTCCAACAAGATGCGATGCGCAGCAAGAGAAGCAGTTAAGGTCACTCACATGATCATGTACGGTACGAGAGAAACTGTGAGGCAGGCGAACGCGCCCCATGCGAGGTAGAGGGCGTTGCCTATGGTCACGTCTATCCCGAGCGGTACGGGCGCGGCTGCCGGGCCTGCGAGGAGGTTGTTGACGGACTGCGTCTTCTTGATCAGCACTGTCCAGATTGTGCAGCCTATCAGGAGCATGATGCTGCCTATTGCGGCTAGGAAGGTCGATGTGAGGAACCCGAACGTGTGCTTGAAGAAACCGCTACAAGCAAAATAAGACCATGAGCGCAGGGCGAGGCGACTGTGTAAAACCGACTGACGTGAACAAGGCGAGCGCTGCGCATATCGTGCCAATGAGCAGCAGATAGTATGCGCCGTTAGAGAAGTTCCCGAGGTAGTCCGAGTCTGAGAAGGTGGAGCCAGACAGGATCACGGTGGAAATGCTGGTAAAGTTCGGTAGCATGTCGCCCACAATGGCGTTGAAGGGCTCGAACCGGTTCCCCGCGGACGTGTTCGAGCATAGGCCAGCGCTCTCGTTGACATATGCGCAGTGTCCGTACAATCCGAACTTGTACAGTTGGCGGAGACCGAGGTGCTGTTCTAGTGGAGTGGATGCGTTGTCCGTGTAGAGGCCGTTAACGTCGTCGGGCGCAATGGTGGCTGCAATGCCTTGTCTACAGACGTGTCAGCGAGAGTAGGAGAGGTCAGGAAGGAAGGTGCTCACTGGTATGAAGTCATGTTCACATTAATCTACGCAACTCTGAATTGGTTATTCTATTCCTCCGAGGCTGAAGATCTAAAATATTCACCAAGGAAATGGTGCGTGGTACATGGGAGTCGTTGATTTGTCCAACCTACGAGGTCATTAGTATCACGGTGAACCATAACTGCGCATGTTGGACGTACATGCAGAAAGATGAGCAGCAGCAGAGATGTGAAGCTACGGCCAGCATGTCAGGACCGTGACGTCGGAAGAAGCTGGAAAGGGCGCACGAAAGAATCGATCCAGTGCCGATGCAGACTTCGCCACGCATGGTATGAGAGGGTATGGGGGTAACGCTGGGATGTGGGGGATATCAGAGGTATATGATATGGGGGTCGTGAAGCGGAGGGGAGGCGATAGGGAGGACCGCGAGATTTATGTGAGCAGACAGCTGCTCCGGAGCAATGGACTCTCGAGAGCAAACCCAACACGAGGCCGCGCCTGCTCAGCGCTCAGCTCCCCATCATCGCACTCTCCTCGGCTGTCTCTTAGGCGCCCTTTATTTTGCTTGGAGGACGCGTCTGTGACGCCGGCACGTGTAGGGTGCCGTGACCGTGACCACCAAGTACGGCAGTCAAACGCCCGTGACGTAAAGGCGACGCGTCGCGGGGGTTGCCGGGAGGTCGCGTGGCGCTGGGCGTATTAGGAAATCACGCTCAAACAGTCTGAGCAGTCTCAGGCGCTGCCGCCATTCGCTCTGAGCTCCCTGACACC